TTTGAAGCATATTTATAATTTTCTTCTCCTTCTCCTCCTCCTCTTCGTCCCTCCCTCCTTCTCTCATTTCCTCCTTCTTTCCTCCTTTCTTCCCTCTTGCCCGCCTGCGTTCTTTCTCTCTCTCTCTTCTCCTGCTTCTCTCTCTCTCTCTCTCTCTTTCACCCGGGGCACTCAACCCCTGAGCACTGAACCCCTGAGCCACATCTTCAGCTCCTTTTTATTTTGAGACAGATTTTGAGACAGGGTCTTGCTAATTTGCTTAGGGCCTTGATAGGTTTCAAAGTGTGACTTTGAACTTATGATCCTCCTGCCTCAGCCTCCTGAGCCACTGGGATTACAGAACATGAGCCACTGCTCCCAGCTGTAATTTTTTTTTAAAGGAAATTTTTAGATGTGGAAATAAAGAGTACAATAGTGTAGTGAACATCCATATCCCCACCAACTAGTACTAGTACATATACTGAGGGAGAAAATACTAGTTGGTGGGGATATGGATGTTCACTACACTATTGTTGGGCTGGGGCTGGAGTTACACTGCTATTCATTGGAATCTTCTCTCCCTCTTTTTTTTTTCAGTTGTCATCAGGCTTGTGGTACAGATCTTACATCTTTTTATTTCTTTTGGCAATGCTGGTAAATATTTTGCTAGTTTTTGTTTTACTTTATTTTGGTTGGTCTTCGTTTTATTAGGTGCTAGGTGAATATGCTGTGATTAGGGTTGGTTTCCTGAATTTTAATTGTATATCTTTTGTAACAAAATGTCTTAAAATTGAAGTATACAGATACAGTTGAATAATGAATCCCTATATACTCATCTTCCAGCTAATTATCAATATACAGCTACATTTTTGTTTTTTTCTGTGTACCTTCTAAACCTTGTCATCCTGTCTCCCCCATTTCATGCTGGATTATTTTAAAGCAAATTCTAGATATTATATTATTTGATTCATACTTATTTATATGTCTGTTAGGTGAGCACTTTAAAAAAAGACTCCACAATACCATTGTCATATCTAAAAAACTTACTATTTTCTAAATGTGATGAAATATTCAGTGAATATTCATATTTCCTCAGTTGCTTCACAAGTGTTTTTATGGTTGGTTTGTTCAAGTTAATATCCAGATAACATTCACATTACATTTGTGGTTGCTCTGTCTCTTGAGTGTTGTGTTTTATTTTCTTTTGGTTCTGGGGATTCAACCCTTCGGGGTACTTTACCACTGAGCCACATCCCCAGTCCTTGTTAAAATTTTTTTTGAGACAGGGTCTCTCACAATGCCTGGCTTGAATATCTTTTTTTTTTTTTAACATTTTTTATTTTTATTCGTTATTGATGGACCTTTATTTATTTATTTGCTTATATGTGGTGCTGAGGATTGAACTCAGTGCTTCCCCCATGCTAGGCAAGCACTTTACCACTGAGCCACAACTTCAGCCCCTTATCTTAATATATAGTTTATTTCTTTTCTTTTTCTTCTAGTTTATTTGCTGAAGAAACTGTTTGTCTTACAGCATTTCCTGCATTCTGAACTTTGTTTATTGTATCCCTCCTGCAGTTTAGAATGTTTAGAATGTTTCTGTCTTGTGAGTTTCTTATAAATAGGTAGGCAGACTTGAGTCTTAGATTCAAGGTTGATTTTCGGGGAAGGATGGAGAGACTAGAATCTTTCATAGCTGTTGATGTTTATTTCTTATTGCATTTCATCCAGAGATCCTGTATGGTTGATTCTTTTTTGGGGGATAAAAATTGATTCATTTGTTCTGGTGTTTTTGGCTAGATAACTTTATCTTATTGATGTGGGTTATTTAATTACCATGAAATACAGGTTTTTATTTGAAATACAGGATAAATACTTTTTTCCTTTACCAAATTTCAGAAGAAGCTATTGATATAATAATTATTTTCAACTTTTTTTTTTTTTTTTTGGTTTCAATCTTAAGTGTCCCCTTAAGTCCCATATGCTAAAAGCCATTTGCCACCCTGAGGCACTCTTGGGAGGTGGTGGAAACTTTAGCAAGTGGAGCCTTATGGAAGGAAGCTTGTCACATTGGCGGGGGCATGCCCTTAGAGGAGGTATGAGCTGAGCAGCTGTGCTCCATCCTGTGGTCCCTTATCCTTGTGTGCTACCCTATGCAGGCCCCCAAATGGTGGAGTCAACTGACCACGGACTGAAACTTCTAAACTGTGAACCCAAATATTTCAGAATTTCCTCCTCCTATGTTGATTTATCTCAGGTATTTGGCACAGCATCAGAGAGCTGACCAAGAATCTATTTCTCTCTCTCTTTTTTAAATGATACCCCAAATTGAACCTAGGGGCACTTTAATTCTGAGCTGAATCCCAAGTTCTTTTTGTTAATTTAGAAATGGGGCCGAGTTGCGGAGGCTGGCTTCTACCTTGTGATCCTCCTATCTTAACCTACCAAGGTGCTGAAATTACAGGTGTGCACCACTGACCTGGCTAGTCTGTTTCTTTTTTGGCTATCATTATTAACTTAAGGACTTTTATATAGTCAGAGGATTTCAACCAATTAGTCATCCCCACTGGGGTTTGAACCCGGGGTGTTGGACCCAGGGGGATTGAACCCAGGGGTGCTTTACTGCTGAGCTATATTCCCGGGCCTTTTAACATTTTTTATTTTGAGACTGGATATCTCTAATTTGCTAAGGCTGATCTCAAATTTGTGATCTTTCTGCTTTAGCCTCCCAAGTTTCAGGGATTACAGGTATGCACAATGACTGTAGTCATTCTTTTTTTTTTGTACTGGGGAATGAACTCAGGGGTACTCTGTGTAAGGTCAACCTTATAATGCTAGATCAGTAAGCTGCTGCCGTGTTTCCTGCAGACAACTTTATTTCCTCTGATTTGAGTAAACAGATGCGGTTTCATGAAGAATTGAAATGTATAACTGAATTTGTGCAGAACTGTTTTGTAATGGAATAACATTACAATACTTATTACTTACTTACTTACACTGAGCCACATCCCCAGCTCTATTTTGTATTTTATTTAGAGACAGAGTCTCACTTAGTTATTGAGACTGGTTTTGAAATTGTGATCCTCCTGCCTCAGCCTCCCAAGCTGCTGTGATTACAGATGTGGGCCACCATGCCTGACTTAGTCATTCTTTTTGATAGTTATGTTTTTTTAACTTTCACCACTCCCTTCAAACTGGGTCTTATGCCCTTTGACATGACCCTGTCAGACTTTGAAATAAGGAATAAGTTTATTAAAAGGCTATATAATTTCTTTCTGGAGAATATCATCAAATCTCCAATAGGCATAACATTAAAAGTATCTACACTACAATGGAAAAAAAAAAAGCCATAGAGCAAAGTGAAAACTTGATCCCCAAGTGTGTATTGTCAGGTTTTTGTCTTTTTTGTCTTAAAAAGCATCTTTGTAAATTTTTCCTATTCAGATAATCAACTTTCTGGGCCATGGATTAAAGGGCTGTAAATTTGGAAATACAAGAGTTCCAACATATTCCACAGTTAAAAAGTCCATTCTCAGAGGAAATGAGGATGGGTTTGCGTCCTAACCTTTGCCATTTTTTCCCCAACATAAAATGTTGCTAAACATGCTGCCCTGAGAAGGTCAAACTTGTAATGCTAGAGATCAATAAGCTGCTGCTGTGTTTCCTGCAGACAACTTTATTTCCTCTGATTTGAGTAAACAGACACGATTTCATAAAGAATCGAAATGTATAACTGAATTTGTGAAGAACTGTTTTGTAATGGAATGACATTACAATACTTACCATATTTTCAAATCTCTGGGAAGTTTGTGTCTGACATTTTAAAACACATGTTGGTTTTATAAATTGCCACTCCCCCCAAATTCTATGAATAATGTTCATCCCATAAGAAATAGTCCTTTTCAGTTTTGTAGCTTTTCTTTTGTAGAATAAATGGGATTTATTTAGTTTTATCCTTAGTGCTGGTAGTAGTCACTATCATGACTCTTTTGTTAAGTATTAAATATGAACTGCCAGTTTTTATATACTTTGAGTACTTAATGAATGTTGGGCTGCAGTACAAATAATGCAGCTGCATACCATACTAATATAAACAAAATGTCATGCTTTGAAAAAACGTTTATTCTCCAAGAATAGAAAGAAGTATAATGAAATTCTGTATTTATTTTCCAGTGAGTTACATTTTGAAGTAAATAAATGATGATACTGTATTTTAGTTAGAAATATTTCTTTTCATGCCTTTTTGGCATTTTGGTTTGTAAAATAACTATCAGATTATTTTAGCAACTGTAAGAATCCCATTAATTATTTTTGAACAACGAACACTGAAAAATATGTCAAATTGTTTTAATGGCAGAAACTTTGAATACTTTATTTCTAGTAAATTAAGTTATTCTGTAACTTTTCCAGATGGCAAAAGCAACTAGAATAGTTTGATTCATTATTTCTTTCCCATTTGTGATATTAATGAATTGTGAATTAGTGCAATTTAAATTGGTACTAGAGTGTCCCTTTTGAAACCTTAGAACTGTGTTCTTATATGAAAAATAAAATTATTTGTGTTGAGAGGTAGTTATTTTCTATATCACTCTACAGAGGATCTGAGGGAATATATTTGTGGGAATATACAGGAAATATATTTGATACAGTTGCTTACATAAAAATAAATTAGGGCAGGTAAATTAGAAATAAGAAGAAAACATCTAAATGAGAATCTAACCTCTACATATACAAACTGTAGCTGTGGCTTAACAAATTTTTATTGATATGTGTCTTTGTGTATTTTTGTATGTGTATTTGTATGTTTTGTCTTGTTTTTTACCCAAGAAGTACTTTTAAAATGTGTGATGCTTGATAAAACCTCTATTCTTTCTTGAAATGTTTGCTGTCAATCATTGAAGTTTTTTTCCCTGTCAATACAACTGTGAAATGTTTTGGTTTTTTAAAGTATAAAGATGAGTAAAATTTTCAATAAAAGGAAATTATGGTAATTAATATTTGATTGGTTTTTTATTTTTCAGGCTTTTTCCTTTGGTGATAAACATTTTTATACTTTTGAGCCATTTCTTTCAAGACCCTGATCCTGTGAAAGTGAGTCATATCATTCAAGGCATAGCTTATATGTCAACTTTTCTGTGAAGTAGTTTCTAATTCCTACAAGTAGGGTTAATACCTGTCTTTGCTCCCAAGAAGTTTAATGGCACTTATTAGGTTGGATTTTAAAACCCTATGTGTCTTTTTTTTCAGGGCAGCAACGCTGTTTCATTCCCAGTGATTAGCACGTGATAAAGCATTCTGTAGATGTTCATGGAAAGAATGAAAACTAGCAAATGAATCAGAAGTTTTAATGAAGTTCAGATTATAAAAATTTTTGCTTCCTTTGGAATCAATGAATACATTAGCTGATTTTTTTTCAGGATCTTCTGAACCACTAATAGCAATGTGAGTTGCCTTATAGTTGAATTTGAAACATTCTGTGTGTGCGTGCATATGTTGGATGCGCTCTACTGGAGATTGAACCCCTAGGCGTGTTACCATGAGCTACATCCCCAGCCCTTTTTAAAATTTTGATATAGGGTCTTTCTAAGTTGCCCAAGCTGAATTCAAGCTTGCCATCTTCCTGGTATTACAGATGTGCACCACTCTGCCTGGCTTCATTTCCAATCTTATTTTACCATTATGCTGTTATTTGGTTATGTCCTTCTGCTTTTAAAATGCTGTTCTTATTTTATTATGGCACTCTCATACTACGAAACCTTTAGTAGCTCTCTTTTACCTATGCGGGAAGTCAAAATTAACAATTCATGTCTTCTCTCCCATCCCATTGGATCTTATGCTTTATATAGAAGATTCTTCCCTGTCTTCTGTGGAGCTATATGTTTTTCAGAATTTTAAATATTATTTTGGTACTGGGGATTGAATCCAGTGGCACTTTATCACTGAGTTGTGTCCTTAGCCCTTTTTAGATTCTTTTTTTTTTTTTAAATTTTGAGACAGGGTCTCACTGAGTTGATTATGGCCTTGCTAAATTTCTGAGGCTGGCCTCAAACTTGGGATCTTCTGCCTTAGCTTCCAAATTGCTGGGATTACAGGTATGCACTGCCCCACCAGGCAAGATATTATCTATAACTACCTGGAATTTCTGCTTTCATTTTGCCTACCTGGTTCCTATATGAAATTATAAAACATGAGTTCTAGAAAATTCTGACAGTTCTTTAACTCAATCTTTTAACTTACAAATGAAAAAAAATAAGACATTGAAATTTTCATTGATTCCCTGCTGCCCATCACCCGTGTACAAAGCAAACCAGCCTCAGACCCAGGTTATAACTAATGTCTCTTTGTTCATTTTTCACAAAGTCTTTTTTTCTTTCTTCCTTTCCCTTTTGTGATACTGGGGATTGAACCCAGGGCCTCATGCATGTGAGGCAAGTGCTCTGCCACTGAGCTACATCCCCCCCACTTTTTTATTTTGAAACAGGGTCTCATTAAGTTTTCTAGACTGACCTCAAACTTGGAATCTTTCTGCCTCAGCCTACTGAATCCAGTGGCTCTTTATCATTTGAGTTGTGTCCCTAGCCTTTTGTATGTCATCATGCCCGGCCATAAGGTGTTTTTATTTTAAATTGCAGCTGAAAATTTTGTTTCCCTCCAACTTTATCTAATCACATCAGTTAGAAGATCTATTCTGGACTTCAAACTTTGGTGCTGCTTATTGTATTGTGAGAGCATTGTGTTTTCTGTTGTAACAATAATGAAAAATGACATTGCTAACCTTTGCTTACTTTTTGGTATGCTCTGGACTAAAAAGCATATTGATTTTCTCATTTTACCTTACAACCACATTACAGGACATTGTTATTCACGATGTAGAAATTAGGAAACTGAAATGTAGAGAAGCAAAATCCTAAAGGTCATAGGTTTAAACTCAGGTCTGATCAGAATAAGACTTACCTAGCTTGTATTATAATATTTTACTTGTGTTCATCTTTTTGCACTGGATTGTAAGACTTTTAAGGACAATGAATAGTTCATTAATATCTTTGTATCTCCTCCAGCATCTGTTGCAGAAGACCTCGGGAAATTTGTTGACTTCCACTAGACGGATATATACCATTTGACCACATATTGAAGGTCAAGGTATTGATATAAGGTAGTGGAGAAGCAGAAGGTGAGAGGTGAAACATGTAAGCATAGGACTTACGTGTAGATAATAGATCTAAGAAAAGGACAAGGTATGGGGTCGATTGAAGTTTCAGGGGAATGATGTGGGCAGCAGAGTTCTTTAACATTCATAATTTATTAGTTGAAAGGAAGGTATACATTTGTTTACTTATAAGAGTTTGGGATTGCATCTCAGTTGCATATTGTTATTTCCAGCCTTGTTCATTGTTGTATTTGGTGTTTCTTTCTTTAAGTAGTCCTGAAACTGCCTGTCTACAAGAACAGGAACAAATAGTTTTCATGTAAGATTAGCCTTTTTAGCAAGAGAGATCTGGGACACTTTAATGAATGAGGATCGTGAACTTATGTCTACTTAACCGAGGGCTTCCAAATTGGTAGAATGCTGAAGCTGTGCAAGTGCATTTTGCTATGGTATGGGTTCTGTGAGTGATTGTCCTTTTGTAGTCGTGAAGTTAGGTGTGAAGAATCTTTTGTGCTTTTTGCCTGTTAGGGAAGTGAAACCCTTAAGCTGTGTAGGCATATTGATTTCCCATTTTTTGAAGGATTTTAGTTTAGTCTTTTTTGTTCTTCTGAAATAATCCTCAAAGAATATTGTGCTAGCTTTATTATTTAGTGATCAAGAGTATGGGAATGAACCAGTAGATTGAAAAGTAGGGTGATCTTTGAATAGCCTATTTTTTTTTCTTTTTCTTTTTTGGTATTGGGGATTGAACTCAGGGGAGCATTACCACTGAGCTACATCCCTAGTACTTTTTATTTTTATTTTGAGATAGAGTCTTACTAAGTTGCCTAGGCTGGCCTTGAACTTGTAGTCCTTGTGCCTTGGCCTTACAAGTCTGGGATTACAGTCATGTATCATTAGCAGAATAAATATTTAAAAATGAATGCTGCTTATGACTTGAAAGAGAGGATAAGTGATGTGTTCAAGCAAAACTATTTATAGGAAGAACATTGCCTAGAAGAAAGATTTGAGTTCTAGAGCTCTTTCCTTCAAGTATACTTATTTATATGTCACATACCAAATTCACAGTTTGTTTATGGTGAAAATGAAACCTCAATTAACCTCTCCCTCATTTGGTTGTGAAAATAGGTCTTTGATGTCAATTTGCAATAATATATCATGAAATATATTCAGATGCTGGCATGCTGACTTATGCTCGCTACATTTATTAGGGAATGTTTTAATAGGTATAAGTACTTTCTGTGCCTTCGTCTTCAAATAATTGTTGATGACAATATAGATTTAGCTCTTGTGTATTTTAAAAAATTTTATTGTATAATATATGAAGATACATTAAAACTATACAGAAATATAAGTAAGATTTATCATTTTGCCTGGCATTGTGGTGCATGCCTGTAATCCCAACTGCATGGGAGGCTCAGGCAATTTACAGAGACCCTCTCTCAAAAACAAACGAGGGATATGACTCAGAGTATCACGCACCTTGGGTTCAATCCTGAGTAACCCCCCCCAAAAAAACAAAACAAAACAAAACAAAACTAAAGTGCTTTTGTAAATTTAAATAACTAAATAGTACTATTTGTCATTTTTTACTTTGGCCAGTTGAGATACTGTGATCTTCTGTGCATGCTAATTTTTCCATCATGAGTTAAAAACAAAGATTTTATGTGGCACTTGTCTTCAGAGAAATAAAAATTTATGCCATTTATTCCCTGTACATCCTCAAGACTAAAAGGAGATAAATTAATTTCATGGATGAAAGAAAATGAAGGAAGGATGAAACCCTTGTATCAAAATTCCACAGCTTTCTAAACCACTATACAGCTTATCAAAGCAAAATTTCATTGTGCTGCCTGGCTATTTCTATGGGTTTTGATATAATAATGTATAGGATTTAACGAATAGGTACACTTGGCTCATGGATTTATCCTGTTTTTCTTTGAGTGATTTTTTTTCCCCCTTCAAATAAGTTTTTAGGGATAGTCATTTCAAAATTGAGGCCATTTTGAGATATGCTGTAGAGTTTAAACAAGTACCTTGTTTCCTTTCCCCATTACACCCTATTTCTTTTGGAGTAAATGTCCTTTGTGGATACAGCTACACTGTTCAAGAAATCATTTCATTGAATTTAAAGAGGAAAATCTTATACCAATGTTAGTATTAAAATAGCAATGTTTTCTTAAATTTTTTTTGTAGTTCGCATTTGTGTACTTATTCAAGTACCACTTTGAGAACTGGAGAAAGGTTGAGTTAGAAACTTCATGGTCAGAGGATTGTATGATTGATTGATTGCTATTGGGGATTGAAGCCAGAGCTGTTCTATAAATGGGTCTCATCCTCAGCATATTTTTTAAAACGTAGTATTTTGAGACAGGTTTTAAGTTGCCCAGGCTGGCTTCAAACTTGCAGAATTTATGATCCTTCTGCTTCAACCTCCTGAGTAGATGAGATTACAGGTGTGTGCCACTGCATCTGGCTCAAAAGGCTCATTTTAGAGTGAATATAATTACTATCTCATGGTTTTGTTTACTTATTTATTTTTTGGCTGTAAATGTTTGTAGTTCTACACTTTCAGATTGTTAAGTTTAAAAATTCTTTTTATTGGCAATTCATATAATAGAAGAATTAGCTGAGGAAATCAGAAAATTTTGGACAGTACATTGGCCAAAAGTTGGATTTTTTTTTTTTTTTTTTTTTGGCACTGGGGATTCAATCTAGTGGGGCTTAACCACTGAGCCACATCCTCAGCCCTTTTTATAATTTATTTAGAGACAGGATTTCATTAAGTGGCTTAGGTACTCACTGAGTTGCTGAGCTCGGGCTTTGAACTTGTGATCCTCCTGCCTCAGCCTCTGGAGCCGCTGGGATTACAGGCAGGCACCACTACTACTGGCTAAGAGTTGGATTTTATTGTTGGTGAAATTTTGAATTAATTGAACAAGATAATTTGGATACCTGAAGCTTAGAATATGTTCTTTCAACATCTTTGTTGGCCTAAAGCCATTCAATTGAATTTACTGTTTATTTGAACTTGGAACTGTCTTTTGGGTATTAGCTTTTTCTGTTGTTGACTTTTGTCCATTGTTATTACTTTCATTGCCTACTCTACTGAGACCTTAAAAATCTTTGGATATTTCTCATTCTTACCTTTTACTTACTTTTCTGTTCATTGAGCCAAATGGACATTTAGGTAAATCTGCTTTTTGAATATTTAAACCAACAATTTTGTCATTTGCCTTTTTGGAGGTTGCCTGCCATACATTTAGCACTGTACCTCATGTTAATATTCTTTACC